CTAGATCTCATGTGGAAGAACCTCGTATTCTTGTCTCCCGCCGCTAGCCACTCTATGCGTGATCGTTGCCTCCACATAATCTCCTCCTGATGATATAGCTCAACAAGCCTTTCATTAATTTTTAGCTCAGCATGTGACGGCCCCACCCTGGTTGGCTCCCCTCTCAAACGGTGCAGCTTAGAGCAAAGGTGCTTTATCTCCTTCCAGACACATCCAAAAGTCTCCCTGTTCCATCGACCCAAACTGCTTGAAATTGTTTTTAACTTCTCCCCGAGTCCCTCCATGGTTAATGAAACTTGCCCCTGGCTCCATTGTTGGGTGATAGTATCACGCCATGAATCGTGTGATTCCCACATAACCTCGTATCTGAATGGAGGTTTTGCCGGCGGGCGCCCCTGCTCGTCTGTTAGGCTGAATAGGATCGGACAGTGGTCAGAGCTGGCTGCTGTTAAGTGTTTTAGGTTTGCCTCCGGGTAATGTGCACTAAGCTCGGCTGACACCAGAGCCCGGTCTAGTCTAACCCTTGTATAGCTTCCACTAGTCACTTTTTTCTCAAAGGTCCAAAAATTGCCCTCATAGCCCACATCCATCAACATGCAAACATCAACAACTTCACGAAAACCCTGAATTTGAGCATTGCTTCGCTCTCCTATGCCTTCTTGCTCATCTGGACGTAGCACTTCATTAAAATCGCCCATGCACACCCATGGGAGCTCACTCAAACTTGCTATTCCCTTCACGGTGTCCCATGTCTGGTGCCTCAAGTGTGTGCGTGCCTCCCCATAGAAACAAGATGCGCGTCAATTATCGTGACCTTGTTCATCTATGGAGCATAGAATATGATACACCGAGTACCCCAAAATCTCAACTTTTATTGGATTGTTCCAGAAAATGCCAAGGCCTCCACTCCGGCCCTGACTACTAACATCAAACGAATTATCAAAACCAAGAGTACTAGCTAAATTTTCTACCCGAACTCTATCTAGCTGAGTTTCGACAATACAAAGTAGGGTAGGGACAAACTTCTTCGCTAAATCACGAAGTTCTCGGACTGTCGCGGCTTTGCCCGCGCCGCGGTAGTTCCAGCTCAAGATACTCATTGTACCCGGTGGTACTCCTCTCAGGAGTCCGCCGATGATGCTTCTGCTTCGATGCCTGATCTCTTGATGCTACTATGGAGTTGGTTCCCCTTGTCCTCCGCTGTCTCCTGCCGAGCACGCTTAGGGTCTTGCTTTGGGAGCAGGCTCAATGGGACATGTGGTGAAGGGAGGGCAAGGATCTCACCTCCCTTCAGTTTAAACTTGTATCCGCCCTGTATATTGGCTATTGCATCTGAAACTTGTGTGTGTTTTCTGTTTCCTTCTGCATCGACCATCTGTTCACCCGCATCAGAACTGTTTCGTGCCTACTGTCCCCCAGATTTGGCTTTCTCCTTGCTGCCGTTCCTTGCTCCACCAGGTCCTGGTCCCGCGCCTCTGAACCAGCCTTCAGGTTCTTGAAGACCAACGCCGACGATGGATGCACACCGTCTCCATGTTCCTTATACAAATGACCAAGTCTCACGCAAACGGCACACCAGTTCGGAAGACGCTCATATTTCACACGGAAAATCATCCTTCTATCGCCCACCTTGAGTGAAACAACATTCTTCAGTGGCTTACCCACATCGATCTTGACCTGGACCCTATAAAAATTGCCTTCAAAGTCATGTGAAGCTGGTTCGGCATAGATGAGTTCCCCTAGTTTCGAGGCCAGCGATGGGATCTGGGATACATATCCCTCTGGGAAGTCATGTATCTGAGCCCAAATTTCTAACCTGTCGAGCTTGATCGAAGACAGCTTTGAGAAACCATCATACGGTGCCAGAACCACAGCATCCCCTCAGAATACTCATGGACCGCCCCCCATTACTCGCTCCCAGTCCCCCAAGCATGCGAATTGGAGGGTGTACAGATTGTCCTCCAGAGGGCGGATGTTGACTTTCTGCGCAAGGTTCCAGGCTGCATGCATATTTTTATAGAACCAAAACTGACTATACTACTTCTCTGTATTTACCCTGGCCACCGCCATCCAGCGGGTCGCTTCGGGCGACACATATTGCTGATCCACCACCACATCATCCAGATCTTCCTCAAAGAGACCCAATTCCTTCATCATCGCTGCCAGATCATCCAGATCGCCCAATCCAGAAGCTTCAGTCGCCATGTTCTTGTTCCCTTGCCCGAAGACGAGTTCTACCGGGCTGTGACCTAACCCTAACCAACAAGTCATCGCTAGTTCATCTCCCAGAACGGGGAGTGAAACCAAAACGTCGCACCCGTCGTTAGACGGAGAGGACTCAACGATTAGAGGTAGGGAAAGAGATCTCTACATGCGGCGATGATCGCCGCCGAGAGGACATGAAACCCTAATGAGAGGGGACTACGCACCACCTGCTAGGTGCAGCGCTAAGAGCAACTCTAGCAGATCCCGCATCCGCTCCTGACCCGCAAAATAACTGCCAAAATGCGGGTGCGGGCCGGAAAGCCTGCCCGACCAGACCCCGATCCCGCCTCGGCCCGCAAAAAATTTTAGGGGCCGCGACAAATTTCTAGCCCCAGCCCAGGAAAACGCGGGTTTCCCCCTCGCGGCTGCGGTGCCCTGCATCACAGAGAAGTAGTTGGCGGGAGGGACATTTCAGCCCGCGCTCTTTTCCCCCCTCCTTCCGCCGCCGCCCACCCTTGCTTCCACCCGCCCGCCGCCGACGATTCCGGCCATATCTGCGGGTGGAATCGCTTCGCGGGGCCACCCCACACCCTCCCGTGCCGAGCCGCTGCACCGCCCCTCCGGATCCAGCGAGAAGAGCCGCCCCCAGCCGCCGCCGCCGCTGGGATCGACCACCGCCAAGTGCACCATCCTCGTCATCGCCCGGGATCACTCGCCATCGGTTAGTCCCCTTTTTATGATTTTCGTGAGCTATGAAGTAGATTGACGTGCCGGCGTGCATGTAGATGGAGTTGACCCTGTGCGAGAAGTTCTTGCTATCCGATTCGGACGACTCGGATGTGGAGACCATGCTTGCGACCTTTCAGCAGCAAACACTGGTCATGGCGCTTGCCGCGAAGGAGCATGAAGACGAGTACCGAAAGAGGAGGCGAGGATCTACTATCGGGCGTCTGTGCATTCTGCGGAATCGCCATCATGGAAATGAGATGTTGATGCAAGATTATTTTTCGGAGAATCCTACATATCCTGCACACCTCTTCCGCAAAAGGTATGGAATGCGCCGATCCCTTTTTGTGAAAATTGTTGAAGCTTGCAAGGCAAATTGTCAGTATTTCACTCAGAGAAGGAATGCCGCGGGCTTAAAGGGATTTAGTGCATATCAAAAAATCCCGGCAGCTATGCGGGTGATTGCATATGGCGTCCCGGCTGACTATGCCGATGAGTATCTTCGCATTGGTGAATATAGCACAATTGAGTCTGTGCGTAGATTTGCGAAAGTGATCGTCCGTGTCTTTGGTCCCGAGTATCTTCGGGCACCAAATGAAGATGACACAAAGAAATTGATGGCAGCTAATGAGAGGAGAGGTTGGCCTGGGATGCTAGGTAGCATTGATTGTATGCATTGGAATTGGAAAAATTGCCCCAAGGCTTGGCAAGAAATGTATTGTGGCAAGTCTCGTGATGCAACAGTTGGGCTAGAGGCCGTAGCAGCCGAGGATTTATGGATTTGGCATTGCTTTTTTGCTATGCCCGGCACACTCAATGATATCAATGTGTTGCAACGCTCTCATTTGTTTGCTAGGCTTGCTAGTGGTGATGCTCCTGCTTGCAACTACACTATCAATGGGCATGAATACATAAATGGGTACTATCTTGCAGATGGTATATATCCTCCTTGGCGCACATTTGTCAAAAGTATCAAAGAACCCAAAACAAAAAAACAATGTGAATTGCAAGGGTGCAAGAGGCAGCCAGAAAAGACATTGAAAGAGTATTCGGTGTTTTACAATCTAGGTTTGCTATTGTCCGAGGTCCTGCTTGTTTTTGGGATAAGAAAACCCTGAAGAACATCATGGCTTGCTGTGTTATCCTGCACAATGTGATTCTTGAAGATAAGAGAGGAATGGACTTAGAATTCTTTTACGATAATGTGGATAGCCGTGTCAAACCAGCTAGAGACCCAAACCGCATTAGAGCTTTTCTTCAGACATACAAAGAGATTGAAAATGCAGACACACACTTTCAACTTCAGAAAGATTTCATTGAGCACAATTGGCAAAGGGCTGGACAGTGACTAAATTTTGTATTCATTTGTATTTGTATTCATGACAAGTTTTGTATTGCATTATTTTAAGTTTGCTACGGTGATTTGAATAATTATTTGTAATGCGGATGGTTATTGTTTTATGTTTGATTTGAATAATTCAGTTTGTTTTCGATTGTTGAATTATGTTGGATTTGAGATTTGCGGGTTGATAGTTTGCGGGGATGCAACGGCGCAAAGAGCAGAACCCGCATAGCCGACCCGTAAAAAAGCATATTCCACGAATATACTTTTTTAAGAATTCGTTTGAAGGGTCTGCATCTGTGTCAGTCCGCGCCGGCCCGCAAAATCTGTTTTGCGCGAACTGCAAACGCGTTTTGCGAGGTCTGCTAGAATTGCTCTAACTGCTTGAGTTAATGAAGGCAACACCCTAAGTAGTCGAGCCCCTAGTGTGGGATAGCGTTGACCCATTCCGGCCCACGGTAGCGGGAGTTGGCGCGGCCCATGCGCCTGGGACGCGCGTTGGCACTGGTCACCGAGTCCTCCTGTCGTGGGAGCTGGCTGGTGGCCCCGGTATGTCAGGGAGGCTGACAAGCGCGGAGCCAGGGCCGTACTCATCAGTGAGCGCAAAGGGGAAAAGGGTCGGCCAAGGCGGCAATTTGGCTCCCCTTCCCGCTGAAGCTGTATAGGCGGCGCCAAGCGGGCCTCGTTCGCGGGAAAATTTCGCGAGCAAATCGGAGGTGCGAGGCCGATGGCGAAGAAGGGCGAGAGGGCGGAGCAAGTGGCGGCGGTGCGCGCGGTGCTCGGCGAGGAGACGCCGGAGATGGACATCATCCGCGCGCTCCACATGGCCGGCGACGACCCCACCAAGACCATCAACATCCTCCTCGACCTCCACCACAACCTGCCGCCGTCGCCGTCGCCGTCGCCGTCGCCCCCGCCCCAGCCCCCGCCGGTCCAACCCACCAAACCCTCCAGCAAATCGATCCCGCAGCCCAAAACCCCCGCGCAACCGAAGCCGGCGGCGGCGGCGGCGGCGGCCGGGAAACCTAGGCCCAAGTCCAACCCCGCGCCCACCGGCGGCGGCGAGCACTGGTGGCTGGTGGGGAGCGCCGAGATGGCCGGCCTGTCCACCTGCAAGGGCAGGCGCATCGCCGCCGGGGAACCGGTCACCTTCTCGTTCCCCAACTCCGCGACCGCGGCCGCCTCGGGCAAGGGCCGTCCTGGTCGCTTTGCCCTCGCTTCCTGCACCTCGGAGATCATGCGCTTCTCAACCCCGACCCACGGGGAGGTACATTACTGCATCACTAATGCTTCCCCCAACTCTCTGATGCACCCCAATGTATGGTGGTGTAACGCTTTCTTGTTTCTAGGTCGGCCGCATCCCCAACGAGTGGGCGCGGTGTCTGCTGCCCCTTCTCAAGGAGGGGAAGGTCAAAGTCGAGGCCCTGTGCAAATCCGCTCCTGAGGTTCTTAGCATCATGGACACCGTTCTCTTGTCTGCTAGGTATCTGAATTTTCGTCGATAAGGAACTCTCTACGGCACCCATTTATGCTGTTTCATGTACATTGCGTTTAGTGTGCTTGTGCATTTTGCAGTATATACATCAACAGCTCCATGTTCCGTGACCAAAAGCAGTCACCGCCCAAGGCAACGCGTGCTGCTACGGAGGACTCCACATTCCATCCACTCCCCGCACTTTTCAAAGTCATCGGGATTACCCCTTTTATGAAGGTGAGCGGTCTTCAGTTTGTTGCGTCCCTAAAGTATGTACTGATAAAAGATGAAAAAGTTATTCACAAGATCATGATTACAATAAATGCGTGCATGCTGGTATGATTGTTTGCAAGATGGTGTGATCTCTTGTTCATTCTAGCAGAAAAAGTATTGTAAAATGTCATCATTAGCACCTACCGGCTCTTGCTTTGATAAAAATATCATCAATGGATGATGAACAATAAAGTAGAACTGAGAAGTATGAAAGAGACCATGTAGTACATAATTGGAGAGATAAGGATGCAAATTGGGCAATTGTCTTACTTATGTGTTCTGCCCCAGAATCACATGCTCTAGTTCTGTTTTCATTTGCTTATATGTAAATAAACAACAGGCAGCATTTACTCCAGAAGATCTCTATTCCAGAAAGCGACCAATTGAAAGAAAGGTAAACTATTATTGGCTCATACTTTACACTACTGTTGTCATAATATATTGGGCTCACATCTGCCTGAACAGAGCAGTAACGGAGAGCCAGTCGCAAAGTTGACATCTGAGAAATTGAAATTATCTTCTAGCGGAAATGAAGATGATCATGCTGAAGGAACTGTTTCAGATTCGGATTTGGATGATATAATTGGAATCTCAGACAGTTCTGCATTGGAGGTAATTCAACAATCTTAGTTTTGTCATTTTCAGACATAAGTTGGTCTGTCCTGACTTCAGTAATGCTCCCTTTTATCCCTTATAAAGGAGAGGGATCCACCTGAGGCTCTGCAGTGTGATCTGCGCCCTTATCAGAAGCAGGCCCTTCATTGGATGCTGCAGCTTGAGAAAGGCAGTTGCTCCCAGGATGCAGCTACAACCCTTCACCCTTGTTGGGAGGCATATAAGCTTGATGACAAGTATGTCTGGCTTATATTTGCATCTTCTATTTCATTTTATTACGATTGTTCCAAATTTAATCAGCATTTGTAATCCTACTCATTTATTTCAGGAGGGAATTTGTTCTGTACTTGAATGTATTTTCCGGGGATGCCACCACTGAATTTCCTAGTACATTACAGCTTTCTAGAGGAGGGGTAAGGGTTATATAAAATACTTCACTGATATATCCTTGCCATGCCTGTCGAAAATCCTAATTGTGCTTTTAATTTGTGATAATTTTATTAACTGATTTAGTATATTGCAGATTCTGGCAGATGCAATGGGACTAGGGAAGACTATCATGACGATAAGTCTTCTTCTTTCTGATTCTAGCAAAGGGCGCGTCACAACTCAGCATAGTACTCAGATCTCTGGAGAAGCTAGTGGGCTGGGTGAAACTCCTATTCAGTCCCTTGATTCCGTGAAGAATCTAGCTAGCCCTTTTTCTTTTAGCAAGCTCAGGAAACCTAAGGCCCCACTGATTGGAGGTGGAAATCTAGTTATCTGCCCGATGACACTACTGAGTCAGTGGAAGGTATATTTGTAACAGTGGCACCACATACTATTTTCTATGTTGTACTATCTGTTTCAATTATGCAGATTTTTTTTGTGAAAACTTGAAAGATAAGCAGTGTTAGCATATTATATTTGTTTTGTTAGTTCATTTTTAGATGCAATGCTAGTACTAATGTTTTTAATACTGTAAACTGATATCTGAATTACAGGCAGAGATTGAAGCTCATACAAAACCGGATTCTTTGAATATATATGTTCATTATGGCCAAAGCAGACCAAAGGAAGCAAGCTTTATTGGTCAGAATGATATTGTCCTGACCACCTATGGAGTCGTGGCATCAGAATTTTCAACCGAGGTGACTCTGATAACTTGTAGGATACTTGTGTCTTTCAGCGCATTACTACTGCTCTTCGTTGTGAATTGCAAGATGGAGCCCGTCCATGTGGTAGACTGCTTGCTTGAATAATTGTCCCATTGTGGCTCCTTGCTGGAACTCGGCATCTATTGCTATTTAGTATTTATCACACATGTCCTGTTTTGTCAATAATACATGAACACTGACTAATATTGCCTCTCCTAAGTTCCTGCTGTGGACACTGACTGTAGGGTAAGTGGGTAACTGTACAGTTTTGGTTCTCATCTTGGTTTTGTTTTGTTTCTTTTTTGTCTTTTGCCTTGGTTTTGAGCTGTAAGACTGGCATCACGTGGATGTTTCTCTAGTACAAAATGACGTGCACTTATGTGCTTGTTTGAGGAAACACATGATCGAGTGCATATTGTTTAGTTGTTATGGCTTTGCGTTGTTAATGTTTAATGTGGCTTGGTAGAAGAATTGGTTATGAATAATGTGCAAACCACACGGATTAAATTGACATGCAAATGAGAGATATTTACTGCCGCCAGCTCATCTTTATTGTTGTTTTATCTTTTGTCTCATTGTGCAATCTATTCTTGACTGAACTACGGATACCTGCTTCTAGAGTTCTACAGAAAATGGTGGCCTCTACTCTGTTCACTGGTTTAGAATTGTGCTTGATGAGGCGCACATGATAAAGTCATCTAAAAGTTTAATATCCCAAGCTGCTGCTGCTCTTACTGCTGATCGGCGCTGGTGTCTTACTGGTACACCAATTCAGGTGAGCTTAGCTGCTTAGGTGAAGATCTAATGGTACATTGTTATTACTCATTGAATCGAACATGCTGGCCCTGCTAAAAAAGTATGTTTGGCGAGATAAATTTTTAAGGTCTCCATCCCTAGTTTCCTGCATGGATTTATACGGTTATGCTTTTAGTTTTATGTGATCTACTTTAACTGCAGAACAACTTGGAGGATCTATACAGCCTTTTTAGGTTTCTGAAGGTTGAACCATGGAGAAACTGGGCCCTGTAAGTTTTATTATCAATTTGCTTTCATTTGCCAGTCTTTGTTCTATTTGGTATACCTGTGCAGATCTGGTAAAATTTACTACTCCCTCTGTAAACAAATATAAGACGTTTTAGATCACTACTGATCTAAAATGTCTTATATTTGTTTACAGAGGGAGTACCATTTTAGAAACCATACAAAACTGAAAATCATGTGACCAAATAGAAGTTGATTGGACTGTTGTAGAATGGAAAAGTTGATTGGACTGTTGCAGAATGGAAATAAAGGCTTCTGTCATTTTTACAGTTCAGGTTCCCTGTTAATCACATCACATCAATTTATATGTTGTCTACATGATTAATTTGTTTCATAATGTCTTCATCCAAGTTTAGTTGTGAGAATGATATCTCTGCAAGATGCAACGCCACAGTATTTATATTTGTTACCGCCTCCACTCTCTTTTTTCTGTTGTTTCAATTGTTGATTCTGTCTTTCTAAAAATAAAACAGGACACACTGCCAAATGTGTGTTTTATCCATTTCTTCCTCTCATAACATCTTATTTAAGAATAGTTAAGAATATGTTGATACAGACACAATTAATCTTTTTTTCCAGGAAGCTATGGAAGTACTTGCGATGAAAAAATAATCAGAATGTCATTCCCATGTTGACAGATCGAAATAATTTTGTGCATATTACCGGTCATAGCTTTAGCAGTTTAACTGCATAAATATCAAAATTGACCTCTATTTAGGATGTAGGACTGGAGGTAGAAACATGGCTATGCACTTCACTATCGTTCCGCTCATCTGGGTCTCCTATATTTATATGGAAATAAAATATGTGAAACCATGATGTATCAGAGTTTACTATATTACCTTGCGGTGCAACAAATTCAAAAGGTTATTGCTATCCTCTATGCTAACTTTTGTTTCCCCTATGTTATTTAGGTGGAATAAACTTGTACAAAAACCATTTGAAGAAGGTGACGAAAGAGGCTTAAAGCTAGTGCAGACCATTTTAAAGCCAGTAATGTTGAGGAGAACTAAACATAGCACAGACAAGGAGGGCAGGTACACTCAAATTTTGGTATGGAGCATTCTAAGGCGCATTAACTTACACCCTTATTTTCTTGCAGACCAATCCTTACTCTACCCCCGGCGAATATTGAAGTGAAATATTGTGATCTATCAGAGTCTGAGAAGGACTTCTATGAAGCTCTGTTTCGACGATCTAAGGTAGTGTGCTGTCAGTTTAAGAAGGATCATGCACATGCAGTGAGGCAAATTCACAGCTTATGCTGGTAAAATTTGATCAAGAAACATGTTTGCGCAGGCGGACAAACTGATACAATGCGCTGTTTTTATAGGTGAAATTTGATCAGTTTGTGGAGCAAGGGAAGGTCCTGCACAATTATGCTTCAATTCTGGAGTTGCTTTTGCGCCTTAGGCAATGTTGTGACCATCCATTTCTTGTTATGAGGTTAGTTTTGAAACCATAGCCCTGTTATTAATTTTTCTAGTTTGGCCTGACAAATTAGGACCCATCAGGTCCCACGTGCAGAGCAATAGTTTCATCTAACATTCAGCATATGCATTCTCATTTTATTTATTTACCATTGGTCCTTTTTCATGACCGAGCTTTATTTTTATCAGTCGTGGAGATACACAGGAGTTTGCAGACCTCAATAAGCTTGCAAAGCGTTTCCTGCATGGTGGTAATAGTAATGTTAATGGGGATTCTTCTTCCCTTCCCTCTAAGGCTTACATTGAAGAGGTTGTCCAAGAACTGCAGAAAGGTGAGGGGGAATGCCCTATTTGCCTGGAAGCCTTTGAGGATGCTGTATTAACTCCCTGTGCTCATCGATTATGCCGAGAGTGTATTTTATCTAGTTGGCAGAGTCCAGCAGCAGGTCTTTGTCCTGTTTGTAGGTACTCTATTGTTGACTCTTCATTTGTCTCTCCAACATGTTTTATTTTCCTGTACATACATGCTTCCTATTTGTCATTCTTATCAATTTGATTTTACTGTTACAGAAAGTCGATGACCAAGCAAGATCTTATTACTGCTCCAACTAACAGTCGCTTCCAAGTTGATGTTGAGAAGAACTGGGTTGAATCTTCGAAGATATCTTTTCTTCTACAGGAATTAGAATCTCTTCGCAGTTCAGGCGCCAAGAGTATCGTGTTTAGTCAGTGGACTGCATTTCTAGATCTCCTGGAAATTCCACTTTCCAGGTAAGTTTTTTTTCTCAATTTTTCTTGTACTTGAACTTTCCATATTTTTAACACAAAAAGATACACATACCTTTTGCATGTTAAAAAAAGGAAATATTCAGTCATAACTCATAAGGAATTGGCTTGGTGTTATTGTTTACTACTCCCTCCGTCCGGAAATACTTGTCATCAAAATGAATAAAAGGGAATGTATCTAGATGTTTTTTTTTTGAACGGTCACCGGGGGGGAGAGGATCCCCACCTGAATATATTGCTTAAAAAGCTGCCAAAGCCAAGAGTCGCCCCTTAGGCTTTGGCTGATCCAGTTTATAAGGAAAACCGGATCGAAAACCTAAACAAGTTGACCCCGTTTATGAGGGAAACCGGGCCAAAAACCGTACATGTAACAAGGTTACAGAAGGAAAAAATTGACGCCCAGGAGAAGGCGTGACCTAGCTAGCAGGCAGAAAGACCAACACCACGAGAGACACAAGTAGATGTGGGGTGCCGTTGAGGGATCACAATACCAAGACTCTGCAAACAACCTAACGCACCACACCGGCGTGCGTATCGAGCCCCACGGCACAACAAAGGATCATCCATAATCAACGAGTGCCAAACCTTGACTGGGAAATCCGCCACGGGCGGTCGAGACGATTAGCAGGTTGGTGAGGCATCATTGCGTCGTCATTGAGCAAAAGTGAACCGAGACAACACCAAGAGCCCGAGGCTCGCCGCAGCACAACGGCAACCATGGGAGGGTCTTGAGCATGCATAGCAACAGGACGGAGACCACACGAAGGACAACCGAAGAGAAAACACATGAAGAAAAACACAACAGCATGGATGACGCACAAGAAGATGGTCAAAGGCGGATGGATGGTGGCGAAGGGCTCGACGAGGAAGCAACACAACGGCAGCCATTGGAGGGTCTTGAGCAGGCATGACAACAGGACGACGCACCACCGAAGGGCAGGGGTCAGATGGGTTGGAGGCGGGATGTCACGGAGTCATGAGCATGAAGCTCGCCGCACCACAACGGCAGCCATGGGGGACTTGAGCATGCAGAGCAATATGGACGACCCACCAGACATTGGGCAGGGGCAAATGGATCATGGCGAAGGGTGTGATGAAGATGCAATGTCGACGGCAGTACGGGATGGACAGGGCGGGGATGAGCGGATTGACGGATGGATTCTTGCGCGACGCCTTCAGGAAGGTTGAATGACGCCCACGGGCGCCATCATCGCAGGGCTTTCGCCCGAACCCATAGCTGCACTGGGGCTCCACAGCAGCGCCTCCAAGAAGGGAAGCGGCGCTGAGAATGCGTCGCCGTTGCTGCCGCTAGCAAGGAGCTAGCAAAAGGATTTCTCCTGGAGACAGAGCAGACCAAGGTCTTGCGCAGACACCACACCAAATCCATCACGCAACAGAGCCAATGGATGGGAGGGGTGGATGCATTTTTGGATTAGAGAATCTGGAACCTGGCGATGGCGCATCTGGGCATGCAAGAGCATGCCGCACAGGAGCCAGGTGACCAGCCAAGGGCCACCCCGGCGCGGAACAGGTCCAGCGCACAGCCAATGGAGGCCCGGCCGCGCCCGGAAGATGCAGATCCGCGGAGCTCCACGCAGAGCGGCGCCGTCGGTGCTCCCCGTGGAGCGAAGCGGAAGTCGGGGAAGCAGGTGGTGGAGGAGGGCGCAAGGGTTGTGGTCGTGGGCGAAGGGATGGGCAGATCCAGGCGATGACGCGGCCGTGGCGAGCGACTCGATCTGAGCGCGGGGAGTAGGCCCGACGGCGGCACCGAGGCTCGAAGCAGCAAGGGGGAGGTATGTGGGCCGTGCAGGTAGCCGAGTGCCCGTAGACCGAGCGGCCGGCGGCGGGAGGCCACCTGACGGCCACCACGAGCGAAGGCGGAGATGGGGTGGAGGGGCGCAGAAGCACACGCGAACGGACTTCGATTTGGACGGGAGATGCGCCACCTGCTTTGAGGAGCCGCCTTCGCCGCCGCCGGCAGCCGTCGCCGGCGGCGGCGGTGAGGTTGTGGTGGTGGGGATCTGTGGCGGCTAGGGTTGGGGCGCCCCGGTGTCGCCCTACGAGCGACACCATCTAGATGTATTTTAGTTGTAGATACATCCCTTTTTGTTCATTTTGATGACAATTATTTTCGGACGGAGGGAGTACTTTACTTGGAGATCCAACAGCACGGCGTTTGTCTGCTGATGTATATTATTTAAAGATCTTATTTCAATTATCTATCTGGGCTTGACAACCTAGTTTCGCTGTAGTTATGCACATTGCACTTTCCCGCTTTAAAGACTCATCTTAGTATGAACTATAACCATTTTTTGTACAAAATACTCTGCTTCTGTGCTGTTAGTGCACAATGTACAGAGCTATGGAATTTGGCCCTTAGATGTTGTAATTTGGATTACAAATTGTTGGGCTGGTGAGCGGTTTCAACCAAGTACAGGAAAGTGTCAGAGATTTGCCCGAACTAACCAATCATAGGCAGCAGTTGTATGGCATGTTTTTAAATTTTCCTTCCTGGTCTGCATTACAGTACTGCATGCAGTTGTGGAGTACTCAGCTATAGTCCTTTGGAAGAATTCATTGGTTAATGTGTTCAAGATTTGGGCAGTTTATTAATTTCCTTTTATTTGTACGATTTATTCATTAATTATCTTTGAGTTTTTTCATGGCAGGCATGGCATTTCATTTACCAGACTGGATGGGACCTTAAATCTTCAGCAGAGAGAGAAAGTAATCCGTGAGTTTTCTGAGGACAAACGAATTCTGGTATGTTTTTTTTTGTTTCTTTATCTCACTCCTTTTTATTTAAGTTTATCTCCATGAATTGAAATGCCTGTTATATCAACAGAAAATGTTAAGGCATTGTGCATTTGATTTATGCAGGTTTTACTTATGTCTCTGAAGGCTGGTGGTGTTGGAATAAACCTCACAGCTGCCTCTAACGCGTTTGTCATGGTATATTTCATCAAAATTGTGTCTTAGGTTTATAGATGAAAATATTTCACTAGATGGCTTTGTTCAGTAGTTTTCTATGGCATCCTTCAGACCTTCACTAGTTCACTGGGAGGTTAAATCTTTGGATTTCCTTCAGGCTCTAATCGTCTCTATTTTTTGGACACCTATCCTCACTGTTGATATTTGTTAAGTGTTCTCCTTTGGAATGCCTTTTTTTTGTAGAAATTGATGAATCTTGAATGAAAGGCTGCCATTTATGATTAATGAGTATGGGAATATTTTGTGGAGCAATCACACTAATATGGAGTGTTAATTCTGTGTGATCTATTTTCTAGTGGGTCATAGGCTATCAGTGACTTACGAGGTTAATGCGGAATGTGCACTTCAAACAAATAAGGAAGCAAATAATAATACCATTGAAGCTTGCCAATCAATTCCTTTTTCTGTTTTCCACCTTAGCCACTGCTCTGGAAAAATGGTGTCACTTTTTTATTGAGACTCGGTACAGATTCATAGATGTTAGGATACACAGTCACTAATGTCAAGGAGTATTAATTCAGGTCTAGGTCTCTTTATGTAGTTCAGTAGTTATACTAGTCTAGATTTCCTTAACTGCATTCGAAACCTTTATGTATAAGAGAGATGAATGACTTTGTAAGTGCTGATATGACCAAGCTTACCCTCGATCAATGGATGGTCACGACTGAACACTCCTGGTGGTTGGGATAGTGTACTTACATTGAACTACTTTTCACTTAGTTAGCATAGGTAGAAATATGTCAATTATACTTCTCAGCAGTCAGGTTGTGAATCTCCTTAATTATATGGGTTTGCACATAGCCTGGGTGTGACCCTCATTACTGTTATTTTTGTGCTGCAGTGACTTGCTAATCTAGGTATTTTTGCCCTATTTCCTTTTGTGCCATCTGAATATGTCCTTTTTTCCTTTAGGACCCTTGGTGGAATCCTGCTGTTGAAGAACAAGCTGTCATGCGCATCCATCGAATTGGTCAAATGAAGAGTGTTTCTATCAAAAGATTCATTGTCAAGGTACAGGGCTTATTGGGAATACGAAGCCAGTTGGCAGCATAGCATGAAATCGTTGGTCATTCAAACTGTTACTGATTTTTCTGTCATGGCACAGGGTACTGTTGAGGAAAGAATGGAAGCTGTGCAGGCTCGTAAGCAGCGAATGATTTCCGGAGCGTTGACGGACCAGGAATTCCGCACAGCACGTCTAGAAGAACTGAAGATGCTCTTCTCTTGAGAAACACGGTGGTTGCTCATGAGCATTCGATCCTACAAGCCTCCTCCGCGTTTGCATCCGTAGCTAACAAACAACTCTCATACGGAGACAACTCGCCAGCAAGGGGTAAGAAATCCCCATATTGCCGCGCCTGTCGCTTCTTTCTTTGGGGTTTAATTGTTGTTGTAGGCATTTTTTTTGAGGGGTTGTTGTAGGCATACTTTTGTATATATTTGAACATGGACTTCAGAATTTTGAGAGTTGGCAGGAAGAAAATTCTACTCCCTCCGTCCCATAATATTAGGGCGGTTTTTACACTAGTGTAGTGTCAAAAATGGCCTTATATTATGGGACGGAGGAAGTACATCCTTGTTTATATAGGAACTATATAAAAGACCATACATAGCCTTTACGTTTTGCTCTCCTTGATGGTGTGAAAACTTTCTTTTCAATTATCCTGGTGGGCCCCACCTGTTAACCCATGTTTAAAATAATAGTATCATTGTAAAAGTGCTTGCGTAAAGAACTTACACCATATAGAGATTGCCTGCACGCAGGAAGTATTCCAAAGTGATCATGATAACCGGCAAATATAAGAAGATTGGTGTTGTGAGTGAAAATAGTGGTGCTGTGCGAGTGCGGGTTGTTTACAAATCAGTTTAATTATATTCAACCTACATTTGTACTGCCCTTGCTTTAACAATATATGATATAGCATCTTATGCTCTTTTTAACCTAGTTATCACAAACATACATTTAAGTTATCATAAGAATAAATACATAAGGTTCCTCCAAAAGAATAAATACATACTCCCTCTGTCTCATAATGTAAGACATTTTTTGACACTACATTAGTGTAAAAAAACGTCCTACATTATGGGACGGAGGGATTAACAATTATGTGGTTGCTTGACCATGTAAAAAGCATATTGGCAAAGAATAGTACTCCCTTTCTTCATAAATATAAGATGTTTTGGATATTTTAATATGAGCCACATACGGGTTGGAATGAGTGAACAAACACACTAAAATACATCTATGAACATACGGATCAAAAAAGGTTGGAACATCTTACAATAGTGAATGGAGGGACTAGATGATAAATCATCGAAAATTGCTCTTGGCTCAGTAATACAAATCACACTAACATTATGTATAAATGAATATTTACCATTAAAAGTAGTGACCTCCAACTTCAAGTCTTTTGCACCGGCATTTTTGCCTTCAACTTCGACTCTGGAATATGTTCACCTGCCATGCATGAGCATAGCATCTGCATCTGCTTGTTCATGATATTTTCCCTCCTGTAGTTCTTGCTCTTAGCTCTGCGGTTTTTGCGTGCGTCCTCTTCCTTTTCTGGTTCATTGTTCAGACTAGTTTGCTCAACCAGTTTGCATGGCTCAGGTTAAACTAAATGCCCTTGCAAGGACCGATGTCTGGTACCATGTTGAAAGTCTGAAATGTGTAGGCATTTTATTTAGGAAACATGTACTAGAATGTAACCGATGTTGCCAATTCCAATCACATGCACTCTGGAACAGAGACAAGCCCTTAACAAACAGATGTTCTGATATTTCCACACTGCAAAAAGACATCACACCATAATGAAACAACAATGAGAACACCTGCCAGGCTGCTAGCTGCTAAGCATCCCAAAAAAACGAAATCGTTGTCAAGCGACGAATTGGCTGCATCAGAGAAAGAGAAGTAACTGGCTAAGCAAAGCCCAGCCCTGAAACGATTAATCTTCGAGCGTTCTTCTTTATCAACACCACCTCTGGTTCGGGCACCGACACGGTCTCCACTCTCCAGACTTATATCCATAATACTAACCTTTTTTTTCTACATATATTGTGAGTTGTCAGCATCGCGCGTATCCTACGAGGGCGAGTGAAGAGGGAAAATATACGGCAAGAGGCAGTGAAACCGAGAGGTGAGGTACGCTTGCACTTTGCACGGCCCTTTGTCTCGACCCATCCGTGCCCTGATCTCGTGCACACATACGTTTTAGCAAGTACACCGTACGTGTGTGCGGCGTGCATTATCCTGGACGAAATGGTGGATGGTCGATGAGCCCAAGCGTCCCCATTCCTCACCATCCATCTAGAGAGAGAATGTGTACGTGTGTGATAGAGAGAGCAGAAAGTGGCAGAATTGGGAGAGAGGGATTGCACAAAGTGACAGAATTGGGAGATCGGGGGAGATGATAAGATGGCTGCAGGGGCAGGCCATGGGCTTGCCGATGACGGCGACAGAGGAAACATTTCGACTGTGCTCAATATATCTACTCCCACTGATGTCTCAACGTTGCGCACTGCTGCTTTTGCTTGTTTGGCTGATGTGGTTTGCAGGATACTACCACATCAGTAGATCTCCTGTAGGGTTTTT